TGAAATTGTGGCGGACATTTATCCAAATCGGCAGCTCTAAATCAAAGGAAAAAAAATATAAATATAAGTAAATTATTTAAACAGCAATACTTACAAAATTGAAAAAGGGCACACACCTCTTATGAAGTGAGTAATTTAATAACGATTATTTAGTGACACGGATAACGTTGTCCCAAATTTAGAAATAAATAATTATTGCGCTATTAGCTTCGTGATTATATCATAAAGCCAATGTTTTTATTATAAAAGCATATAAATAAGCAAGAGACTATCTAAGGACGAAATTCTACATAAAAACGGGTACAAATATTTTGTAAAATTAAATTACTTTATACTTAATTTCAAAAAACTTTTTAAGTTCAGTGTGAATTAAATTATATTCCGAGTTTTATTTTAAACAATTGTGAAAACAAAATTTATAGTAACTATTGAATGAATGAACTTTCTTCAAAATATTTTTTAAAATAATTATTACAAATTTCTACCCTTTTTTTTTAAGAATCTGTACTTTGCATTATAATTTTTTTATTAGATAATAACAAGCGCCTTACCGCTAATGCTGAGATAAAGCGATAACATTTTAATCATAAAATAAAACAGTCACCATTAAAAATGATTACAAGTCGCGGAAAGGACAAGGGACACTGGCGCTGCTAACCATCTACACCCTGTACCTCACGTTCATCTCAGGAATCCAATGCATACTGGACCACACGATTTTGACGCAAAACAACACATAACATCACATAACACTAATACAGACACTAATAATGCACATGACAAAGGTTACCACACTAATAACCCTAATTAATTGATTAAACTAATAAAAATAAAACCCACGGGGATGAAATGGATCAACGCAGAAACATATTTGCGGTGGCCATAATCGGTTGCGTCGGATGAGGAATCTGCCACGGCTTGAGGAGAGGATCTGGAATATCGGGAATCTCAAACGATAAACCTCCGACCTCTTCAGCGATTTCAAGGATAGAGTTCAAGAAGCGTAATCGTTCGGTCAGTTCCATGGTCTGAGCCCTCAGAATGCTGTTCGCTGATTCGGTCTCAGCGCACGCTTCTTCCTTGGCCTTTATGTTCTCCACAAGCTTCTTGTTCGCGCCTTGCAATCTGCTAACCTCATCGGTCAAATCCTCCAGCTGTTTCTGCTTCCTCATCCGCGATCGCCGCGCGGATTCGCGGTTCGACAGCATTCTCTTCCGCTTTCTCTCGTCGATTTGCGGATCTCCTGCCTCAGATCCAGAGCTCGTCGCCGAACGTTGAATCGACGCCATTTCCGACAAGGAGATGTGATTTGAGTTGATAACAGAACAAAATTAAAAAAAAATGAAAGCTAATGGAAATAGGGATTACAGATCTAATTAATTATTGGAATAATAGAACAGTAATTAACAACGGAGACGGATCTAATTAATCACGGATTTGAGAGAGAGTTCATGAGAAAACATAGAACCAGTATAGAAACACAACGGAGAACGAGTGCAACAGACGAATTCGACGCATATCTTGTGTCATAAAAATTCGGAAAACATTGGTGTGTTTTGCAAAAGGCCTATGCTCTCACAACAGAATTGAAACTCAAGCGAGTCCTGATTCGGGGCAAGAAAACCCTAGATCTGAAACAGATCAGCTTCTGGGGGACTAATTGATTTTCTGAAACGAGAAAGGACAATATCAAAGAAATGGGGAAAACCGGGGAAGGAGAGGTTGTTGGCGAATGAAAAATAGGGGACAGAAGAAAAATGTGTGAAAAGGGTTATGATAAAGAAGGTGATAATTGAAGGTGAGGTTAGTTTTTATAGAAAAAAAAAACGAAGGATTGGCAGTGTTTAATTATTAAAAAATGAAAATTTCAATGAATGTCAATTTCGAGGTGCCTGAAATGAGAGCCTCATCGCTTGCGCATGCAATGACGACAGCTTTGTTCCACCCTAAAATCCTGTGCCAACTTTTACCTCTTCTGCTTGTTGCGGTAGATAAAATGAGTATGGAAATGAAATTTTATTAAGTTAAAAAAAAATATTAATATTAAAATGTAATTTCAGTTTCTTTCTTGTATGATTATTTTCTTTTTGAAATAGAGATATTTGATTTCAAAATTTTAAAAAATTAGTGAATATTACTTCAATTTTCACTAAAGAGACAAAAACTGTGATATATATTTTTACGTTACTTAACCGAAAGTCAATTACTTTTAAAACAATGCAATAACATTGAAAACTTTTTTTAACAAATTTATTGTAATGGTCAAGTTAGTTATTTAATATATGTAATAAATAATACAGTTAATGATAATTTACTCACAAACCGGTGATTCTTTACAGTAGATGAATTATAATTTATAGATATGTTTCTTTACTTATTTGATTATTTTTTATTTTTTATTATCTAATGTATTTCATACTTTTAAGGCAACGGACCATGTTAACAATTATTTTTAACAATTTTTTGACAATAGACTATGTATCACAGTTTTATTTGTCTGTATATTTGAAATACACCAATCACAAACTATCACGTAAAATTGTAAAAAAGTTGTTAAAAAAACACTTTTTCAAGGTAATATGTTCAACATGCAAGTCTCATGTTATGTCATGAATGCTGGTAGAGTTGAACATTCTCTTAACCTTGATACACCGTTTTTTTTAATTATTAAAATATACTTCGAAATTATGTAATTCAAATAGACTACTTACTACTTACTCGTTATAGTCAATCGAGTAATGATTCTTTGACACACCTAAATTTTTTAGGTTCATTTGACAATAACCTTACTTACTTGAGAGGTTCTCCCTTCACCTCACCAACATCATCCTACACCTCCTTTCTTTTTTTTATTTACAACTCTACCCTTCTCAGAAAGAATATTTTACTTTAAAAAAGCTGACCCATTTAATGATTAAATTGAAGCAGTAGCCCTACACATCTTTCTAATTGAGTTCAGCCTTACTGCATTTCAGATTATTTTGTAAACCCTACACCCTTTCCTCCCTTCCTCCTCCTTGCCTCTCCTTGTCGCATTTCATTTCAAACTCACATTTTTTTCCTCCTGCACTCCTCTCCTCCTCCCTCATCACCAACTTCATTTGTTTTTAAGTTCTTCTGGTGCAACAATGTAGATATTCTTCTTTTCAAAGAGATAACTTCAAGGACAGATTTACTTAAGGTCATTAGAGAAATTGGGGCCTTAACCGCACTTGAAATTGCGGATCAGGCACCGTCGCACATGGAACTACGGTAGGGAGGGATGAGAACCTCACTTGGAGCTGCGGTTGACGGGTCGCCGCAATTGGACTTGTGGTTGGCGTTCGACACTTTTGCGTGCAACCGCACTTGGAACTACATATGAGACTAGCCGCACTCCGACTTGCGATTTACAGTGGCCGCACTTGGAGCTACACTGCTTGTGTTTTTAGGGTTTCTTTTATTACTTTATTTTCTTTTATTATATTTAATTAAATTTGTTTAAAATTTATAAATTGTATTTCCTTATATTATTTATTATTTAGTATTTTTGATATTTATTTATAGTATTAAATTTGTTTAAAAAATATATGTATGAAATATTATGTTAGTATATTTAATTTATTTTGGTTAATATTTTATATAGTTTTTTGTTAATATTTTATATTTATATATTCTGTAAATTTTATTTTTATGTTATATTTTATGATTAAATAATATTGAATATGTTTTTGGAATATCTTTTCATTTTTTGATTTATTTTAAAGTCAAAAAATAAGAAGAGGAAAGAGATACATGTTGGGCAACAAAATGAGATTTAGGGTTGCTTGTGGTTACGAAATCATTAACTCATAATCAGTTTTTATTTAATTTTAATAAATTATTTAATAAATGAAGAGCAAATGTGTAAAATGGAAGGTGCATGAGGAAATTAGTGAGATGCAGGGAGGACTTCTCTGCTTACTTTTTACTCTCTTATTTTTTGAAACAATACAAAAGTTTACACTTTTATTACTATTTTATCCTTATAATTTGTGTCAAATGAATGTAAAAGTGTGTCATGATACTATTTGTCTAATCAAAATTCGTCATCAAAATTATGTTGAACGAAAACCTAATTATAATTTAATTTTAAAAAAATGCAAATAATAAATTAATAAATTAATAAAAAGTAAAATAAATAATAGTTATAATTATAATTTAATTTTAAAAAAATGCAAATAATAAAATAAAGCAACTTAAAATAAATAAATAGTAATTGGTGTTTCATAATTTAATTTGAACATAAATTCTTACTATTGTAATAATTGATATAAAACTTACTAAATCAGAAATATAAAAATATTTTTAATTAAAATCATTGTTTCATAGATTATTAATTACAGTTTAAGTAATTAATTAAATAGTCTATTTCATAATTGTTTAGTAAAATTTCAAAATTATTATTAGAGAATAAAAAAAAATGTAGTTAGAAATTTTGATTTTAAATATGTAAAAATTATCACTACAAAAATTTAGATTTTTACCGGGGGTTATTTTTTCCGTTTCCGGCGGTTTTAACCCCCGGAAAATACGTTACCCGCGGTTAAAAAAATCGCTGGGAAAAGCTGCGTCGCTAAGTAATTACCGGCGGTTTTTTGAAAAACCGCCGGAATTAGCGGGGGTTATGAAAAACCGCCGGAAGTAGCGGGGGTTTTTGGAAAAACCGCCGGAAGTAGCGGGGGTTTTTGGAACAACCGTCGAAAGTAACGGGGGTTTTGGGAAAAACCGCCGGAAGTAGCGGGAGCTTTGGCAAAACCGCCGAAACTAGCGGGGGTTTTGAAAAAACCGCCGGAACTAGCAGGGGTTTTTCAAAAAACCGCCGGAAATGTGTATATATTTTTTTTTTTTTAGTTTTTGACTGTAATAAAATGAGATTATAATAAAATTAGTTTTATTAACCAAACATAGAATAAAATAATATAAACTAAAACTGAATATTATATATAAAATAAACTATATTGTTCAAATTGTTCAACATATTAACATGTTCATACAAGTAATTGTTGATATATTAAAAAGAAAAATATTCAATACTAAATTAAAATATAAAAAATATGACTAAGATGTTCATTATATTACTAAAAAAGAAACAATGTCTAATTTTTTAGAGGTTTCTTAAGTGTCCACTCCCCTCAAACTCCTCTTAAGCTAATTGCCTCAGTTCCATTTGGTTGGGAAGAAAACCCAGAAAAACTTCTTCCTAATTTCTCATATGTATCAGTTCATCCTGTGTTTTCCAAACACGAGAAAATATTCATTCATGTAGAGCATCATCTTCAGGTTTTTTTGTTGCATGCAACTTTGGTCACGATGACAAAGACAAAGGAACCTGCAATTATAACAGTAAAAACATAACTAGTTTAGACCTTGAAGCTTGAAGCTTTTACATTTGATGGGACTAAGATACGAATATTATCTTGAAAATCACCTACTTTTAATGGATAAAATAATCATATACATCTATCCACTTTACCACCCATTTACTCTTACCACATTTCCATTTTCCACACAATTACGATATTATAATAGAATATCTTAAATGACTATTGTTTCACTCATTCATGTAGAAATATAGTTCATCTATACTATAAAGGATACAATACTTAAATGAAAAATTTGCTTACATATATAACAAATTTAGTTTAATTAAGTTAAGTAAAGGTAATCAAAGCTATTTGACAAAAAAGTTGTAGGGTTTTTAAAATATTTAAAACATTATTCACATGATAAATTATCCAATATCACATGAGTGGATTTCTTTGAATTCTGTGTCTACCAGTAGTACTTTATATATTTTATTCTGACTTACTTTTGCAATTAATTATCAACTATAAAATTTCACTATCAAATTTAACTGGCCTTACATGTGATTTTCTAGTTTATTAAATGTGAAAACTTATAATAGATATTAAGCATTCAACTTTTTATTGACATGTTGTGAAAGTAGAAGAAACATAGAAGACTTGTGGATATGTTTGTGACCATAAAGCTTTAATTTAAAATGCATTTTTTGGCATAATTATAGAAGTCTTCCGGTATTGATTTGATCCATAATACCACCCTATCATCATTTTTTGAGCTATGTATCTCCTCCATGCTACACCTTTGCCTCTCCTTTTTTTCTATTCTCTATGGATGTTATCACTTTTTTTATTATTTCAATTAAATATTTTGTGATACCTTTAATTCTCTGGTATCATCCTTCTCGGCAACAAAGACAGAGAGTCATCAAACTGATTGGAAGAAATTTTGGCACCTACTAAAATGAAATCAAATTCCTAGACAAATTACTTATTTATAAACCATGATTTATGATTGAAATAATCATGCAGCCAGAAAAGAAAAAACAGCACCTGATAATACACCAATTCGTGGAGTTGTTAATTGTTAATCATTAGTGAAGATCGTGGGATCATTAGTTGAAGATCGGGGAATCATTCTGGGCCCTAAACATAGGGGAGCGATCAGACGAGAGAGGGAGTGATCAGGACACGGTAGTATAGGGAAGGGATTAGACAGCTAGATGAGGGAAAGTTATTAGGAACAGTGGTAACAGAATTTAGTATTCAGCGGTGTAGATAACAGTGACTAGGACGAGCGATAGATGATGGAAGTGATTAGGACTATTTTAAAACAGCAAACCGTTTTAAAACCTATTATATACTGTTAAGACGACGACCTTGTAAAGACCGAACGTTCAACTGAGAATAAGATCGTAGACAACGAACGTTCACTAACACATAAAATGAACGCCATCGAACAGCAAGCCAGGACGCTCGTCCAGCGCGCAGCGCAGAGGACGCCCATAGAACAGCAAGCCATTTCAGCCTTTCAGCTTTTAATTTTCATAATTTTGTCAATTGTTTTTAACTTTCAACTTTTAATTAATTTAATTTTCCTTGCAAAACAATCCAAAAAAAACCCCCTTTTTTTTTCGTGTGTTCTATGACTGAACCGCAATACTTCCTAGTCTATACTGCATTAATTCAAATCATCAATAACTCGTTAAATGGATTTAGAATCTTAAACAAAAGATGACATTGGGGCACCTATTGCTGCCACCAAATTCAATAAACTGGCCGTAAAAGGTTTTCATATGACCTACAAAGCGTACATTAACATAATTACATTTTGCTTCTTAGGAGGACCACGAAAGTCACATTGACTCGGTGTTCAAGAATCCATATAACAATTCCAATCACAAAAATGAGACAGTCGTAGCACACACACAATATGCTGTAAATGGTTGATAGGACGAGCGTCCTGCGCGCTGGACGAGCCTCCTCTCTGCGCGCTGGACGAGCGTCCCTCTGGGCGACAATGCTCTGGGCGAGCGTTCTCCGCTAGCTGGGCGAACATTCCCGCTCTCTGGACAGAGCGTCCACTTTCTGGACGAGCGTCCTCTGCGCGCTGGACGAGCCTTCTCTGAGCGCTGGCCGGCGTCCTCTGCGCTGCGCGCTGGACGAGCGTCCTGGCTTGCTGTTGGATGGGCGTTCTCTTCTCGATGCTGACAGCCAATGATGCGCTCCAAGTCTTTGACAGTATCCAATCCTTATTCTACTTCGAAATAAACAAACAAAAGCATCAAAAAATATTTAAAAACAGTCAATATACTTATATGTTCCGGCCTGATCTGGAATGTAACTAGAACGCTCTCTCACACACTTCACAAGCAAGGGATAATGAAAACAATAGCTGATGAACCCTTTTTATTAATAAGAATACTGGATCAAGAAAACAAACAATAACTGGGAGCAGGATCTCCGTCAGTTATCTGAGAGCATAACCTCTCTTACAAAATTCCCAAATCAAAAGCATAACTTTTTCCCTAGGTTCCTCCTCTATTAATACTAATTACTCCTTCCCAAAAGGGCCGAGAATAATAATAACTATTATTTATTATAATTATCTGGTAAGAATATATCTATTCTTATTTATTATATTTATGCGTATTTATTATAATTATCTGGTAAGAATATATCTATCCTTATTTATGTATATTTAGCGTATTTATTATATTTCCTTCTATACTATCCTTCTTTGTCAGATTGACGCTCGTCCTTGCTCAGCGCCGCTCGTCCCTTGCTCGTTCAGCCCTTGTTCTTCCACTCCCTCAGACTCTCGTCCTCGCCCCTCGTTGCTTTCCCGCTCAGGATCTCTCCTCCCCTTCCCTCGTTGTTCTTCCACTCGCTCAGGACGGTCGTCCTCGTCCCGCTCGCTCTGCTCTCTTTCTCTTCTCCTTGTCGTTCGGCCATCAAGCTCCTCCCTTTCAATCACCGTTCGTGTCATGTCTTCTTCCGTACGGTCCCCTTCTCTCTCCCTCCTATATCTTCGTCTCTCGTAAACTCGCCAGGTCCTAACATATATCAACAATTATATACTTTTCATGAGAATTAACACTAAAACTTACTCAAAAGCACAACAATTTAAGCAACAAAAACAAGTAAAATTTACACACTATCACTCCTCTCAGCCAAAGGTGTTAATTATACAACTAATCACCCTGCATTTTTTATGCCACCAAAGATCTATAAATTGACGTACACATATCACATCTCTTGATAGTTTCCAACAAAAAATATCACAAATCAAAATTAAATTTTAACAAACAACTAAACACACATCCAAATCCACATCTATGTTTGGCACCACTTACTGTAAACAAAGGCTAAAAGATTTCAGGATAAAAATTGACAAACCACACAAAAAAGATGATAAAGGAATGTTGTGTACCATTGTCCTGATGCTGCAGAGCAATAAAGCCCGGTATTTGGATCATAATAATAGCCCAAACTGCTGCTATAATAGTACCTGGACCATCAAATATTGATGTCAGAACAAGCTTATAACAGCTCTTTTTGGTAACAGAATTCATTAGAAGAAGAAGTGGGTACAAACCCTCAACTTTTGCCACCTCCTTAATACCATAATGATTTTTTTTTTGGTTTTGAAATTTACAACAAAGATAAATAATGTCATGTATATCAGACTATTTCCCAAAATTTACTGGAAGAGAGAGCCATACCCAGAAGATTCATCATACACATAATCATTTTGCAATGCTCCACCTGAAAGAAAAGTAGAACAATGTTAAGTAATACTAATCAAATAAATCATAACAAACAAGACTTTGGAGGCCAATTTACACCTACCCTCAGTGCCAGAATTTATGGCGTCCGATGAAGATTGACTAACTGTATTATTTTCATCTGTAGATGGCTTACTGTTTCATCCTCGTCAGCAAACATATCTAATCACCTTCACCAGTGCTAGAGGCTTCTCCACTAGCCAAATGTTGATTTGATGGCCTTCTTTTGCCCGGGCTAACTTCTCATATCCTTCTGAAAAGGGGAGAATGTAGAAGGCATAAGCATTAAGCAGTTAATACCACGAAACGGCACCCTTCACTCTTTCTCATAAACCTAAATATCGACAACATCATAGAAAGAAGAAAGAAGAGCCAAGGAAAAATTGACAATTAATAACCTCCCCAAAATCCAACACTTAACTATGGAGGCCAAAGATAGTTTCTCCAAACACTAAGAATAACAAACACCATGTTGATATTGATAATAGAACAATAATTCTATCTTGCATCATACCATAATAACAACATAAGTTGAAACGTATTATATAGTAAAACCAAGTAGTAAATCAAATAAATTATAAAATCAAACAGCATATTACATCATGTTGTTACAATGTAAACATAATGAAACAACAAAACATAATATAAGTAGAATAAAGCATAGTGTATAACACTAACCCGCTTCACGATCAAAAACCTCTCCTTTTCATGATAAACATTGCGAAAAAGGTCAAGGAGCCAAGTTAAGCATAATGTAGGCATAGCAACTAAGA